GGCACCTCTCCAGAGCACCACGAGTGTTCATAAAGCCATGCCAGGGGACTTGCAATGACCCCAGCCAGTTCCTTTAGGACTCTAGGGTGAAGATCATCCGGGCCGGCTGACTTAAAAATATCCAGCCCCTCCAGAAGCTCCCTAACTAAATCCTCACTCACTCTAGGCCCAGGTGAGCCTCCCCCGGGGCCCAAAGGGGGGCCAGCAGGGAGGTGGCAAGGAGAAAAAGGAGTAATAAATAGCACTTGGTAGAGATTAGGAGGAGTGGGTTCTGACATCTGAGTTGACTCAGGAACTGACAACCATGTCCGCTTCTCTGTTTGCCAGTCTAGAGAGGAGCGGGGGGGCACACTTACACATACAAGTAAAGCTCACAGACATTTGCTGACAGCAGAAGAGTGAGGAGACTCATGGATATTCCCAGGATCTGGACAGGGGTCTATCCCAGGATTTGGACAGGGATGCACTCTAGTGGCCTTAGGGCCCTGTGCCCATTCTTCCTCCCCAACAAGACTGACCTCCGCTTTTAGGTCCCCTCCAACTTGGCCTTGCTCCAGTTCCATTTTTCCTCATTCTTGACTCCTTGCCAAGCATCCAACCACTCAGTTGGATATCTAATATCCCATTGCAAAGCCTTATTAGAAAATGTGACTTAGAACATCTCATAGAGAAGAGAGATATGAAGCATGGTCCCCTTACTGGTTCCTGAGGGAAAGGTGCATCCTTCCGCTCTCATTGTGCCTTTGAAAAGACAGGACATGGCCTGTGTTAATTCATCAGCAGTACACTCCACTGAAACAGTTCGCAAACCTCCAAGTTATACCTCACAAATGGTATTAGCAGCTTCTTGGAATCTGTTAAAAAATGCTACATTCGCTTTAACAAAAAGACATGCAGGTAAAGGAGGGGGTGGAGCAGAAATTGATTGCAGCACAAGTAATATTAACCAAGTGTTTACATATTTCTCAGGAGATTTAGCCAGGGTTTACATGGACCAGAAAAAACTCAAAAGCTTCTTCGAAGAAAAACTTCAGATGGATGGACAGAGAAAGTGACAGAGCAAAAAAGAAACAACATATGCATCATAAAGCAATGGAGGTTAGAAACAAAGCCACAGTACAATTTATATATATCATATATCCCTTAACGAGGTAATCGGTAAGTGGGTAGGGTCAATAGTAGCCAATGGATTTTTTGGCAATTCTATTTAGAATTTCATAAAGAAGTTGAGGACTATAGCCCCAATCTAATAACATGCACATGCTTTATTTCAAGAATGTCTGTGATCCCAGGGAGCTTGATAGGACTGCTCCCATGATTGTTTCTTAGCAAGCTGCATTACTGTTTGCAGGATCAGGGTACAACACAGAAGGATACTGGACCCTGTCAGTTTTTAAATTTGATGTGCAAAGTTCTATAATGCTTGACCATCCTGATCTCCACGTATGGTCTCCACTGTTGTATCTGTCTTTTCACCATCTTTCTATTAAAATGGTTAAGTACCTCAGGCAAAACTCTGGCTACACCAAAGTCAATGTCAAGACTCCCATTTAATTCAGTAGGGCCAAGCTTTTATCCTCACTCACCCTCAGAGTTGGGTTTTTATAGCAGAATCTGGGGGACAGACTCCTAGACCTGCAAGCAGTTTACACTCAACATATAGGACTGTCCTAGAATTGATTGTTTTTCTTGCCTGGTAATCAGCAGCCTAGATTTATGCCAAACAAGAAAAGATCATCCTCTTGGGTAAGAAGTCAGGGCACAGGGAGATGTCAAAAGTGGAAGCTGATGATGTCAAAGCTGAAAGATAAAGTGTACCCTGCCATGACATGTATTGTTGTGCAGGAGTCCTCAAATGGCATTGTTCCACACAATCTTGCATATTATTTTTGGAAACAAGTGAGCAGGATATAATGCTAGAAGATGTGCTGTATTGTGACTGGTTGTATGACAGATGCTCTTTTCTTAACACCAAGGAAAACAACAAGGTGACAAAACTATAGAAGGCAATACAGCTCGGTGGCCACAGATTAGTAGATAGTAGCTTTAACCTGGTTCTGCTATATGTAAAATGTGGTGAAAATGCTTTACATTCTGCACTAGGGGCTAGGGTGTTAATTAGCAAAAGCCTGCGCAGTCCATGAAAAGCATAAAAACTCCACAGCAGACCATGTTCAGATGCCTCATCCTGAGGAAGAGCAGGGAGCAACACTACCCAGGGAGGACACAACTTTTGCGTTTGGGTGCAAGATGGAGAAAATGTCTGCAAATTAATTGATTCTTTTCAAGGAGAAGTGAGTTAGTTGATAAGTCAAACTTTCTTGGTGGTGGTGGGGAGGGCATGTTAGAGACAGTCCCAATGTCAGGCCTCAGCATCTGTTAATATAGAACATGGAAGTGAGATTTCCTGTCATTTCCCACTCAGCATGTGGCAGAGTCTCTGGACACAGGGTCTATTGCACAGTGTGTCCAAAGGTGTATCCAACGTCTAGCCCCCATGACACTTGTAAGAGGGTAAACTGGTAAAATTAAGTCATCTCTAGGCTCATGTGCAGGAATCCTGGCCCTGCTGAAATCAGTGACAAACCTCCCCTGGGCTTCAAGGTGGTCAGAATTTTCCTCCATGGTCATCAGACTGCATGTCAGGCCTTCAGAAACAAACTCAAGGAGAAGCAATACTTCTCCTAGTTTGTCCTTCACTGACCTTTCCTGAACTGGCTGTTTCTTTATTTTCTATATTTATTCTGTTAGATTTATATCCCACCCTATCCAAAAGGCTCTGGTGACACATGTCACTTTGCACGGGGGGACTCTTATTGTTTGTCCTAAAAGTTTGAATCGCACCCAGTAGACAGCTCCTGCCATGTACAGAAGCGAGAATGAAGGAATTCATTAACACATGTATTGTCCTTTCTCATTTGTTCCTGCTACAGAAAAACAAGACCAAAGAAATGACTGATGAAATTACAAATATAATGACCTGGTTTGTAGCTAAGGTAACAGACATTATATACCCAGCAATAATACAATATGCAGAGAGAAAAATAGCTGAGAGAGACATGAGAGATGAGGAGGCCAATGCCAAAAAGTTTGTCTTCACAGACAGAAAGAGAACACCCAGAAGATCCCCAGGATGCATGAAGAGAGGGACCTTCTACATCCCCCCTGGATACACTAAGCCAAGAGCAGCCCACTCTGGAGTAACTCTATCCCACATTAGCAGGCAGCTTTCAAGAAAGTCCTTCTTTTCACCATATTGAAAGGTATTTCCTGAAGAGGAAGTACCACATAAGGCAATACAGGGAGCTTGCAGAAAGCCCCTGCCAACATACAGAATTGAGCCTCAGCCTTTGCAGTCACCAGCCAGTATTTATGCTGATGCTTTTTGAAAGGAGTATGTGATGAACTAATGAGCAAATTGGTCCCTTCACAAAACCTACATGCTCAGGACCGTGCAATCCTTGGATGTGATTTTTTCATGTATCAGCACAGATGTAGTTGATTCAGTGTTAAATAAGCTTTCCATATGTCAGGCCATAGACCTGCAGCCTTCTGAAGATCAGTCTCTCTCCCCTGACATGGACACATTGATGGCCAAAATTATTCACTCCAGTTTATCTGGCCTTCTGCAAGGAAGTGCTTCCAAAGTCTCAGTTTATGCAGACATGAAAAGAAACAAGAGTGTGCCAGCGGAGAGCTTAGGTGTTTTGATAAGGAGAGAAATTACTGATTACCAATAGGAAGAACCCTTAGCAAAAGCACCCTTTTCAGCTCTGTATAAACCTCTAGAACCTGGGGAAATTGATGAGACACTTTTAGAAGATGCTACCAAAAGCAATGCCCAATGTCAAAGTCCCCATACCATCTACTCTGGGGGTATGCCACAGATTTTTGGAAGATGTAATCAGCAGGCTTTTATCTAACGTTCTCCCTGCCACTGCCAGCACATCTTCCTCTACAGAAAAGAAAATGGAACTTGCAGAATTTGACTTGACTCTCATGAAGGTAATCAGTAAAGTTATGGCAAAAATCTCTGAAGATGAGAACTCTTCTTGCCAGCATATTGAACATCCGCATTTCAGGGAGGATGACATGATTCAAACAATTGCTGATTCAGTCTATAACAAGCTTTTGACACAATGTCAGTCTAAATTCAACATGCAGGAGTGTTTAAGAAGTGGGTGCATGATTATTTCTGAAGCTCTTTGTGACTTGGTCTTCCAAGAGATTTCTGGGAATCCGTTTCAGAGCTCGCTTTCTGGAGAATTACCACTTCACCACTGTGCTGAAGCTGACAATATTGTTGAAAATACACTAAGAGACATTACTGAGCCCTCAGATAACCCAAACAGTTTATCATCAGAACTTAGTAAAATAGTTCCTCTTATCATACAAAAACTAACAGCAAATCTTTTGTCAACATTTTCTTCCCTCTTTCCCATTGTGGCTTTAGATGTAGAAAAGACTTTGTTACTGAATGATGCAACTAGAAAAATATTACGTGCTTTGCAAGTACTCCTGTCAAAACATCAGATGAACATGAATGAAGATATCAGTGAAAGAGAATCTTTTACACACTGAAGACAGCCAGTCTATGGGAGACAAGTTATTTCCATAAAAACAGAACCTCTTGAGGAACTGCAAGAAGCATTCATTGCTCAAACTGGGGATGTCCTAAGAGACCTAAGAGCATTGCTGGCTGAGAAGTGTCTTGAAGATGAAAGTTCAAGATCTGAGGTATAGAGAGAAGAAGACAGTAATTTCTCTCTGGGTAGCACAGGACAACCAGTTGTAAGACCAGGGGAGGTAAGTGGAAAGAATAAGGCAGGGGCAATCCTGTTTTGTGAATGCCATTTTGCTTCTAACTGCATCTTTTGTTAAGATGAAGTTCATGTGGCATTGAAAGCCCATCTACCATGAATGCTCTTATAAAGGTGGTGAACCATCTCCTAGACAGTGTGCAGTGGGCCATCAGTGTGGAGGACCCTCGTTAGCTGGGATTTTGGGTTAGTGGTCAGTAAATTTACTAATTGTGAATCTACTCTCTTTCCAAGAAATCTGTCTGGGGATAAGAAGAGGGCTGGAATCCCTTGAGTTAAGAATATGGACAAAACAGCTACAGCTCTCTGCTTTGCTTACTGGTGGCAAAGACTGGTTTGAAGGCAGCTGCTCTTCAAGCCAAAAGGGCCATTTGGTCACTAGGAAGAGAAGACCACATATGGCAGAATGAGGGGCTTTGCCTCCCTTGAAAGGCTTGGGTCAAAACTAGAGATTGATAGATATGAGGGCTGTGGTATGGGTGTCCAGAGTAATGAAGACGGTTTCAGGAGCTTGTTCTCTATAGAGCTACAACTCTTATCCTCTTTCAAAGTAAAGCACAGAAGGTGTGTAAGAAACTATTTTGCTAAGCCCAATTTCTGAGCTTTGGGTGGCTCGGACAATGGTTCCAAGATCCTACTGCTGAGTCCTGCTGCCCAAAACAAGGATATCGGACACTAAGTGTAAACCAGGCAATGAGTGCAGGTAACACAGATGTGAAAACAGTGACAGGTAACCCAGACCCAGTTTATTTAGCAACCCATGGGATTCAGTAGTTGGTTGTCATCACAACACCAGAGTTTCTATTTAGAGAGCAGGAACTGACCAGTTTGTGACACACATATGTTCATGTGTGGATTGATAAAAAAAACAAACACTTAATTTGTGACTTCGCTAGAGCCCTGATCCAGGAAAATATTTAAGTACAGAAATCTGACTGGAGTCAATAGAAGTGCTCACAGGCTTCAATGATTTGTAATGTTTGGGCCTAGGACAAAGAATCTCAGTATCTGCATAACTTGAAGCCTGAGCTAGTGACTAATTGGAATTAACGGCACCTGCTGAGAAAAGTACATTTAAATGCCTTCCTGAACTGGGGCCTAGAAGAAGTATTTAGCCTTGATAGTTGACATGCATAGTGGCTCCTTAGTGTTTGTTTCTGATCTGTTTTCAACAGAAAGTTGAAATATGACAGATGGACAAAGTAGTTTTCCTTTAACAAAACTTGTCATTGCACAGCCCGGATTTTTCTGGGTGCTCAGCTAAAGTTCATAGGATGGATCTGAATGCAAGTCTAGAAGGGGCTTGGTTTAGTTCACTCTCATTAGCGATTGGTAGGAAAAACTGGTTTAGAAAGGATTCTGAGGAGGTTCCCCCTCTTCAAAAGCTTTTTCTTTGATTTCAGGCCTTCAGCAGGACCTCATTTGGGAAAGGTGATGAAGCCTATGTTGAATATTCTGAAAGCTCTTCAACCCAAGGTGGGCCTCCTTGCACAACTGGCAGCCCACCACACTGAGAAGGAGGAGAGAGAGGAGAAGGTGGAGGACAAGCTTGAAGCAGAGCAACAGTGGGAGGAAGAAGAGGAGCTGCAGCAGATAGAGGAGATCATTCAAATTAAATCCTCTCTGTATTTGAGGAGCCCGTTGGCTTCATCCATGGACAGTGAACAACTAAGGTAGCTTTTCTGGTGGTACAGCAAGAATGGGAGCTGTGGTGGAGTGGGATCATCTGGGGTCGCTGGACAAAGCTTGTCCCTACATTAGACTAGGTTCAGCATGAAGGTGTGCAGGGCTCTGTCTAGTTCTCTGCTTGCTTGTAACTAGACCTTTTCACTGTTGCAGCACAGTGTGACTAGACTGTGCCAGTGACTCTGAGCTTCCATACAAGGCTAATTTACTCTGCTACCAAGACACATGCTTTCTTCCCATCCCAAGATCAAGCTACACAACCACAGCTGATGGCAGAGGGGCATTAGAGCAAGGTCTTCTTTCTCAGTTATACTTTCTGTACATCCAGAATCCACTAGGATAAAATTCTCAAACTGGGTGCCACCGCACTGTGGGGTGTCTTGAGATCCTTTCAGGGGTGCCGCAGAGTGCCACGCAGTGTTAGCACTTCTAGGAGTGCAAACAGGATTCACAAGATAAGTCCAGAGATTTCCTATAGAAATCCAGAGTGTTTAGAGCCATGCTGGCCTATTGCGGTCCTTCAAAGTTTTTTGCAATAGAAGAATTGCTATAATATGTTTCTGTACTCACAAGTGAAGACTAAGAGCTTGCATTTTCCAAGGGGTGCCTTGAGCCTAACAAGGTTGAGAACCACTGTACTAGGGAAACAGTCCATAAAGTCTGCCCTGAACTGGAGAACCAGGCCCCACATTTGCAATCCTGCCTTGCTGCTGGGCTGCAGACAGAGGATCTCAATGTTTTCTCCCGACATAAGGCTTTGGAGGACCTGAGGGCAGGCTTTGCCCAAAAGTCTGAGTTATAAAGACCTGTGACGTTGGGGGCCTGGTCATGCCCCCTCCAATACTTTCAGTGGCTTCCAACTGTTTAGTTTGAAGGAGTGAATGTTTCCGTCAGAAGGGGAGACTCCCTGGGTGCATCTTTCCCAACACACAAGGGCATCACTAGCAGTGTTGTCATTGGAGCAGTACTGGGCCCAGCACACAGGCCACAGCAGGTCACACCTTTGATTTCTCAGCTTCTGATTGTGATTCAGCTATGACAGAGAGCAAGCCTGAGGACTGCCTGCCCCTGCTTGCCAGAAAGGCATTAATTGGTGCACCCACATGCTCAGGAAGACAGCAGACATAGGTCCTAGGTCCTGCTTACCCAGAAACTTTCCCCAACGCGGTGCTCTAACCACTAGGTCATAAGTTTGGTTTTACCTAGAGCTCTCTCCATCTCTCCTCTCCAAGCTTGCCCCCTTGGCAGCCAAAACAGGGAGGTGAGTGGGGATATGAGGTGGTCCAAGGTTTTATCCTGCTTCCAAATGCAAAGAAGCAACCCCTGTGTTATGTAGCCACCAAATATTAAATTAAGGGTGCAGTGGCCAGTTCAAAGGGCAGTCCTATTCCACTATTGAGAATTATAATCCCAAATGGCATAAGGATGAAGCAATGCAGTTACACATGTGAATAGTACATAGGACTGGGACTAAGAGTCCATTCCAGAGAGAGAACAGTGAGAACAGCGCATTACCCAAGGCCGTCCAACAGATTAGTGGCAGAGTCGTAGGCAGATTTCCAGACTCTAGATTTCCAGCCATGTAGTATTTTAGAAGGACAATTCCTTACCTCAGAGCAGCTGGATGTGGTCAAGAATATGTAAATCGCTAAGAGTGATTTTTCATTGTTTTTGAAGCACTGTGTTGGGCACAAAACAGCATGAAGAACAAGAAACAAAGATTTAAAATACTATTGAAATGCTAATGTTATGACCCTTTACTCTTGTTTGTCTCTAAATCCAAATGACTGTTTCCTTTTGTTTGTAGTGAGAATGTTGAAGAACCATCAGCAGCACTGGGAGCACAGAGAGCAAGTGAATGTATGAGATGTGCACTTGTGTAGGGTTTTATTTATTTCCCTTAATGTCTTTATAATTCTCTACAGTTTCTTTAATTCTTTCATTCCTTTAATCTCAGTGATCATTTGGAGGGTGAAAGACTGTCTCAAAAATACAGTGCTCTAGAGAATAGTTACGCTCCCAGTGTGGGGGATTTCTCTAGAACAGACTTTTTCTGGCAAAGGCAGTCATGTTTTAAAGGGGAGCTCTTCACACCTTCCACATGGTTTTAATTTTGTCTGGCAATTCCTTGTATAAGCTTTCATAAAGAGACACTCCACTAACAGCCTGCAAAATGGATCCAAAGCTGTACCTAATCTGTGGGTTTTGAAGAACTAGCTCTTTCATATGGATTGCTTTGCGCATTCCTGTTAGGACAGCACAGTACGGTCCTGGCTTCCATGCACGAGGCACTATACAAACATGCCCAGAGGTAGCACCAAAACACATCAAAATATGGACAAACCTCCTTTAGAAGAAAGAGAGCATGCACTAGTTCTGCCTATGCATTGGGTATGTCTGTATGCTTCAGTACTGCACCAGGGATCACTGCAAGGAGGAAAGCAGCACGTGCTCTGCATAAGCTGTCCCTCTCCTGAAATGGAAGTCAGGTGGCCTGTGTGCATCAGTAGGCTCACCCAAGAGCTAGAGCTGACTGGATCCAGCCAGCACCACACAGTGGGTGGTTACACCGTATCAGTTTGGGAAGGCTGCATGCACAGAAGCAGGCATGGTGCAGCTCCCTGCAGCACTACCTGCTGGGGTACAATGCAGCCGAGACAGGCCCATTTGAACAAAAGCTTGCAAGACGCTACTTTGCAGCTATGCTAAAACAACAGCTAAAAACATCAGTCATAAAAGTGGAAATGAGTCCCAGGTGAGCTGACTGTGGATGTGTTCTTGTTTACAGGCAGTTCTGCTGACACGTGCCAGGCCTGGGATACAGAAGACTCTCCATACACATCTTAGGTAGATATCTTGTAAAACCTTCGGTAACAGAACCTCAGGAAGTTGGCTCACAAAAGGTCAGCCCCACCACCACTGCCTGCCCCTCATTCTGTGCCTGTGTAATCCTGAGCACAGATCAAACAGAGCCTTGCCTGATACTTTTTTTTCCCCTTCCTCTTTCCATGGAACAGTTGGAAACACTGTCTGAAGATGCTGGAAAGAAAGATCTTCCCATACCAGAGGAAATGGGGGTTGATACAGGTATGTATGGGGAAGTGACACTGGCTAAGTTAGGTGATATCCTGTAGATCATGTGGGAAGTCTGTAAGTAAGCCAGGAAAGGACTAGGCCTCCTGAATTCACATTCATTGATCTACCCAGAGATCATCATTGCTGCCCTAGGCTGTATGTAGACAGCACAGGGGTTTAATGCTCCCTAAATTGAAGTGGTGTTTTTTTAAAAACACCACTTCAATTTAGGGCAAAGTAAACCCCCATGTTGTGTACATCCATGTTGGAGCCTGATCCTTACCTGCCTCTCCAGCGGCGGGGAGGACACAGCGAGCTGTTGGAGAGCAGAATGGTGCTTCTCTGTGCAGCAGCGGTGGCCCCCCACCAGGCAGCACCCGCCCGCAGGCACTCAGCTCGGGCAATCCCAGGGGGCACTGCAGCCGTGGAGGGAAGCACCAGGCCCCCATGCAGCTCAGGCAGGCAGGCCCAAGGGGAGAAAAAAAAAAAAGGATCCAGGCTTGCTGGGTTTTTTTCCCCCTTCTGTGGAGCCTGCCTTCCCAGGCTGCTGCCAGGCTGCCTGCACAGCCCTTGAGCTGCACAGAGCCTGGTGCTTCCCTCCACGGCTGTAGGGTAGGAAACTAAAACTCTTCGGAGGTGTTTTACTTTGCAGTGCCCTGTAATCATTGCTGCATCCCAAAGTCATTTAAGGCACATTATACCGCTGAATGTGCCACAGCCGCTAGAATTAACATGTAACACACCGCTGAATGTGAAAACAGCAATGACATTAAAGCAGTGCAAAAGGGATTTAACCCAGTTTAAACCCTCTTTAAAGTGTCGTCTACAAATGGCCCTACCTACCTTCTCACATGCAGCATTGCAGGAAAGAGATAGTTAGTTCCTGACCTTCAAGCAAGAAATTCTCCAGAAGTTGGCCACAGCAGGGGATCCATTCAAGCTGGTTATCAGTGCCCCACCTTAACACACTCCTTCATAGCACACATAGCTTATTCACTCTGCTTGTAGAGTCCATTTTGGCTAAGTACAATGGCTGAGTAATTTACAAGACTGGACTGGAAATCCGAAGGTGTTTGCCTGTACAAAATCAAATCCTGTCCACAGGAGAAACTTGTTTCTTGAGGAAGGACATTAGACCAAATGACCAAATGACCTTTGGACTAATTGACCTTTATTTTTCAATATGAAGTGACTGCTCTCTTTTCTCCACAGCAGCAGTGTTCTAAAAAAATGGTCTTCCTTTTTTAACAAGATACCGAATGCTGTGTCCAGAATGCACTCTCTCCTCTCAAGTTGCCTAATGCATCACAGGAAATTTTGGAAAGTTTCTCCCAAGATTATACCTCCATGTTAAATTGGTTTAGGAAACATATAAATAGAGTTAAGAAAAAATGTGGTCTGGTGGAGGCTGCTAATTGTACTTCATGATCATTCTCATACAGTTAAACTCAACAAAGAGGGCAGACAGAAAAGGCAGACAGGAGACCTACTCCACAGTGAGGAGGAAGGCTCCTTTTAGGATGCATTATTTGGGAGTTAAGGTGCCCTGCCAAGCAGTTGGCTGTGCCACAGGAGGGGTGTTGGAGAGGTCAGGATCCAACCCAACCACCAGGTAGTGCCACAAAGGGCCAGAGAACTCTTTGAGAAAACTTGGAGGTGCCACCTAGCAAGGGTGGGGAGTTAAAGCCAGCAGATAATGCCATTTAGAGATGGCAGCAATCTCCACTTGGAATCACAGGGGAATCAGAAGGCCCCTGGAATCACGTGCTGACATGTAATTCTCAGCACCAGGAGAGGGAACAATTTTGCGAGTCTTTAGCTACAGCGACTGGGGTTTAACCAAGCTCTCTAAGCAGAAGAGCAGCATGGCACAGCTGCCTGAGGGGAGCAAACACCCAGGACTGAGGACCAGTCTGTCTTGTCCTGGCAGCAGGGAGAAGTGAAGGGCATATTGGTGTCCCAGACCCCTGCTCCCCCCTTGGGAGATCAGGACCACCACGGGAGCCTTCAGACTCACTCCTATAAGGGCCTGAATCATCTCTGACCCATCTCTAATTTGTACTGCTTTTCCCTCAAGGGCTGGAATCACTTTGGTGCTGGGGGAGGGGGTACTGCCAAGGTCACTGCTGCTGACCCCCAAAATTCAAAGCTTTGGGGAAGAGCCCCCAAGTTAAGACTGGCCCCCAAATAATGAAGATGTCTTTAATATGGGCTGCCTATACATGTGTTCATTGGCGGTCTAATTACCATGCATTGCAGCAGATGCGATTAATCGCGTCCACTCCATGTTCCAATTAGAAAGCTGCAGCATTGTCACAGCATCACATGTATTAAGCCCCTGTACATTTTAAAATGGCTGCAGGGCACTTTATCTAAACTTCAGTGGATGAGGTTTAGTTAAAGTGTCCCACAGCCATTTTTAAACATGCGGGGGCTGAATACACATGATATTGAGGCATTTTAATTAGAATGGCTGCCCAGAAACCACTCTAAATAAGACCTCCCATGTTCCCTGCCCCCTCTGCGCACGTATATAGGCAGCCATGATTTCTTTAAGCTCTTGCTTTTTGAACATCCCACTTCCATAAGTGGGGACAGTTTCTAGGCTGCTGGCAGAACAGGAAACTCTGATGCCCGCTCCCATCTGGCGCTTGCACTGCCTGTCTGTGGGCACAGCTTCTCCCAATGATATGCTACTGTAAGCCACAGACTGGGCTGCTGAGGCCTGTTCCAGTGAGTCCAGTTTCTGCTCTCTACTGTTCTTCCTGCACCTGTAGCTTCAGGAGTGCGTCCCATCCTTCCCCAGGCCTGCCTGACCTAGGGCTCACAGGATGGGAGAAGATGGGGGAGTGGAACCAAGAGTTCTAGTTTTTTGTATGTCTTCTTGTCTCAGACCAACATGGCTACCATGTATACCCCGAAACATGGAAGATGCTGAATTTTAGCCGATTTTGGATGTTAAACTTCATTGCAGAACAACAAGAATTTTGTACTTCATCAATTATAGATGAGTAACATAGCTACATTCATGTATTTCTATTGTAAATAGCAATCATATTGATTTGGAAGGACTTCTTTGAGGTGACGGCTGGACTTTTTGAAGGGTTCTTGGCCAGAGTCTTCTCAGGAGTCATGTCTGCTTCCTTAAAGAAAGCATCCAAGGAAGTTTGGACAGATGTCCTCCAGGGAGATGAGTGATGCAGAGAACTTGTTCGCTGGCATGGCGTCCCGTCGGATCAAGCGTTGTAAGTCGAAACTGACGTCAGAAAGTTGAAACAGGGTGTCAATTTACAAACATTGTAAGTGCAAAACATTGTAACTTGAAAGTGGTAGCTCGAGGACTGCCTGTATACTTTTCCCAGAGCCTGAGGAAGGGACCTGGATCCCGAAAGCTTGCAGAAAAGGACAATTTTCTTGTGATTTCCCAGTTGGTCAAACAAAAGGTCTCATTCTGGACCCAAGAGTTCTAGCTGTTTGTACGTCTTCTCCTCTCAGGCCCACGCGGCTGCCAAGTACATCCAATGTTTGGTATTTTATTTTAATGAATGCCGTCGCGTTTATCTCCCGGGTGACTCCCGGCAGGCTCCTGGAGATCGCGCTCTAATTCCTGGGGACTCCTGAAAGGTTAGTAACCTTAAGGCAAACAGAAGGGGGAAGAGAAACGCAGCTGCGGTTTCTGCTCGACTTTCTTTGGAGGGGGCGCCAGGCCGAGAGGAGCCGTGTGGCGGGGCCCAGAGGCCGGCGGAGGGCGGGGCGGGGCGGAGCGGAGCGGAGGCAGAGGCAGAGGCAGCACCTGGCAGGTGAGGCGAGCGCGGCGGCGGCGGCGGCAGTTGCAGTGCGGGTGGGACCGGCCGGGCGTTGCGCAGCATGAGCGCTGCCGAGAGCGCGCCGTGGCGGCGGGGGGCCATCCGCAGGCGTTCCAACCCCGGCCCGTGCCGCGCCCGGCACCACACGTAGCCAGCAGGTAACCCGTGCCCGGGGGGAAAGGGAGGAGTTTGCTTGGGGTGGAGGGAAGTCCCTGCCCCTGTGTCTGAGCGCGGCGGGGGCTGGGTTGTGCCCTTGAGGAGTCTCCTTGGGGGCCCGGAAGGCCCCCGTGGCCCCGCAGCGCCCGGCTGGGCTGAGGAGCCACCCGGGGGGCAGCGACATGGCCGGGGTCTGTCTGCCCTTCGCCTGCCGAGGTGCCCCCTGCGGCCTTCCCTCCCCATTCCTACCTGCGAAAACTGCTCTACCTGCTCCTTTGGGTGCATCTACATGGATACTAATGCATTTCAATTAACGCACATTCAATCTAGTAACCTCCATGGCGGGGTAGTAGGAAAATACGCGTTTTCCTGTCTTAATGCACACTCACTAAAGAGCGCGTATTTTCAGCGGTGCTTTCATGCTGGGTAAAATAGGCGAAAGCACATTAAAGCACATGTGTAGATGTGCCCTTGGAGTCCAGCTGTCAAGCATTCACTTTGGAGCCGGTTACTGTTTTAATTGTTTTTGAGTGGAAGGGTCCTTGCTATTCCCTGTGAATTACCTGGTGAGTCTAAGTTCACTGCGCAGCTTGCCAGGCGATGGTGTTGTGTATGTAGCCTGCAGCAGGGGCCCTTGCGTAGTTTTTTATGAGGCTGACAGAGGTGATGCAGTACCGGGCCACGCTTTGGGGACTTTGATTTTCTTCCAGTCTGAGGCATAGGGTTATTTACCATAGTTCCCCCCCCTCCTCTTGCACCTACTGCATCGGGGGGCAAGGGGATTATGCAAGTAGTAGTCCAGGCTTCCTTAAGCCTTCTGGAGACTTTTTCTTACTGGTGTTGAAAAGCTTCCCTCTGTGACAGCAATAGGGTGAGCACTCTGCAAGTTATGCCAGTCAAGGTTACTGGCATTTTTATTACTACGTAATGTCCCATTGACCTCTCTCTCTGTAAGCCCAGAAGCAGCAGGGTGCTGAGTGTGTAGGCTGGAAAAAGTTATTTGACTTGCAGATTGACATAGGTATTAAGGAAAATGTAGACACAGAAGCCATGGGAACCTGGGAAGACTTTTTTTTAAACCAAACCTTACTGTCCTGGTCTCTTAACAAGAAGCAAAGATCCCCCTGGGGATCTTTGGGGCTAGCAACTAACTTCCTTTGTTGATTTGCTTTTTGACCCAGGGCCCATCTTGAGATGGGGCATGGCATTTTACAAAGACAATACTTTGGGATAAAAAAGGATAGCTTAGCATAAATTAAGCTGTGAAACCAGTCTACCATAACCCCCTCCCCACACCCTCCAGTCCTACCTGCTAAAACTGTCAAAAGTTGTTAAAGAATAGCTGAGTGTGATGTGATGTAGCAGTAAAAACTTCAGTAACCTTGACAGCAAGGCTTGCAGAGTGCTCAGGCATTGCTGTCGCAGAGAGGAGAGGGGATTTCTTGTAGCTAGGATTCAA